GTTTCATGCATGCTAGGTGAGCACAGCTGCATCTGCACCCGTGTTTCCTCTTTTTAGTTTGTGATGTGTTCCATTGTCTCTTAATTTAACAGCTAAACCTTGAGTTCACTCCTTTTTTTCTTTTCTTTTCTTTTCTTCTCTTTTCTTTTCTTTTCTTTTCCCCAAGACAGGGTGTTTCTGTGTAATGGAACTCGGCTATCCGAACTCACTTTGCAGACCAGCATAACTCAGAGATCCACCTGCTTCTGCCACCACTGCCCAACTTGCATCCGTAGCACCCAAGTCCTTCTGCCAGACCCTGAAGACAAACTCCAGCCCTAGTGAGCAAACCATTAGCCTCCTCTGCAGCTTCTTTTGGGTGGAGAACTGTGGGTCCAGGAGAAGCCCATTCCTGCTTTCATCTGTGACTCTCCTGAACCTGCCGTTCCAACCTGGTATATTTCCTACCCACCATGCTCTATGTGGCCAAGCTTATCTCATCAACAGCTGACACATGGGGGGCGGGGGTAAGGCTGGGAAGACTGGATGGAGTTTGAATCCACATAGAACAAATCAAAACAAAACCACCCTGGCATGGCTACAAATGCCTGTGTCCCCAGCACCGAGCAATGGAGACAAGCATTCTGTATCTCCTAGCCCAGTCTCTGTGGCAGCCAGAACCCCAGAAGGAAAACTCCCTTTAGACTGACCAGACCCAGTGCCAGGTGAGCTCCAGAATGAATCAGCCTCCCCCTCACACCACCACAACTGCAGTTACCATAAGAGGAACCGAGTGCCCTAGAGGACTGCATGAAATGTACATATGACGAGCTGGCTGGGATCAAAGAACATGGCCCATATCTAAGCCATGATGCTTACTGCCACCAGGTCCCTCTGGGCGTGCACATGGCTGTGGCTGCTCATCAAAGTTCCTATAAACCCTACAGATCATGAGAACACATTTATTGTCACATGGTTCTGAACATTGTTAGTCTGAGTTGGGGTCTAGGAGCTAAGACAAGGCATCCATGTACCTGTGTTCCTCCTGGAAGCTGTAGGGAGAATATAACTTTCCTGTATTGTATCTGTGTAGTAAGACCCCTTGTGATTACAGTGTAGCCCCACAACAGTCCCCAATAACCTCTCCATCTCATGGTTAATCATGTCTTCAATGTCTTTTCACCATGGGAGGTGAACTTACAGGGAGCCATTTCAGCTTACCAAAGGGATAGGACATAAAAGCACTACCAAGCTTTTGAAACATGACTCTGACGATAGAAGCATAGTCACAGAAACCAGCCAGGATTTCTGGTCTGAACATAACCAGGTTGATTGTTTAAAAAAAAAAATAGGTCAGCCCTGTCCATAAGACTGTAATCAAGCTCAGCATCTCATAGATGATTTTCAAAATGGCCAGGACACAATCCAAGATCACCTGACATTTAAGTAACTCATAGAAGAAAAGGAAATAAATGAGCGCACACCAACCATGCGGTTGTACCGATGCTGAAATGATTTTAAGAAAATTAAATTTTTAAAAATCTCCAAGACTGAAGAATAGAAAGAAAAAATTATTAAAAATGAGCAGAGGGGGATTCGTCAGCCCTGCTCAGAGACATCCGATGCCAGGGATCTGCTCACCAGATCTGAGCTCCCCAGTGGGATCCGGCACACCCCGACACAGCCAAGGCCCCGGTAACAGTGCTGCCTCCATCCACAAGAAGAGGACAGACATCAGAGTATTGGAACTGTTTGCATCTACCAGAAGGGAACCTTGGTCCCATAGCCACCAGGAGAGGAAGAGAATCCTGCTACACCCACCAGAAGAAAGGGTGAGAAGAGGACAATGTAAACGCACATTCAACAACAGAAAACCCAATATGACACCACCAGAGACTAAGAACCATACATCAGCAAGACCTGAACATCACAATGCAGATGAAGCAGAAGAGAATGACCTTAAAAACATCTTCATGAAAATGATAGAGGACCTCAAAGAGGACATGAGAAAATCCCTTAAAGAAATGGAAGAAAGAACAAACAAAAAAATACAAGATATCAACAAATCTCTCAGGGAAACAGGTCAAGACCTAAAAACTGAAATAGAGACAATAAAGAAAGCACAATCTGAGGGATTTCTGGAACTAGAAAAGCTGGGTAAACGATCAGGAACTACAGATGTAAGCATAATCAGCAGAATACAAGAGATGGAAGAGAGAATCTCAGGAAGTGAAGATACACTAGGAGAAAAAGATTCATCAACCAAAGAAAATCTTAAGTCCAACAAATCCCTAACACAAAATATCCAGGAAATATGGGATACCGTGAAAAGACCAAACCTAAGAATAATAGGTATAGAAGAAGGAGAAGAAATAAAACTCAAAGGTGCAGAAAACATATTCAACAAAATCATAGAAGAAAATTTTCCCAACCTAAAGAAAGACATGCCAATGAAAATACAAGAAGCCTACAGAACACCAAATAGACTGAACCAAAAGAAAAGGTCTTGGTCCCACAGAAAATCCCTGTCTTGAAAACCAAGAGAGAGAGGGAGACAGAGAGGGGGGAGGGAGGGAGGGAAGGAGGGAGGGAGGGAGAGAGAGAGAGAGAGAGAGAGAGAGAGAGAGAGAGAGAGAGAGAAACCTAGATTATCTTTTGGGGGTGGAATGAAGACAGACTCTACAAATTTGAACTGAGCTGAGTCTGGTGGTGCAAACCTTTAAACCCAGCACTGGAAAGGCAGAGGCAGCTGAATATATGTGAGTTCGAGGCCAGTCTGGTCTACATAGTGAGACCCAGTCTCAAAACTAGAACAAAACAAAGTAGAATTTGAACTAAGCTGGGCATTATAGGCCTTCTGAAATCCCAGCCTCTGGAAGTAGAGGCAGAAGAATCAGGAGGGTTCAAGGTCATCCTTGGCTACCTAAGAGAATTTCCAGTCTGAAGGTACAGGAACTTAAAGGTAAGACACTATTTCTGAAGACACCATACACTTCTGCCACAGGACTTGGAGGAATCAAGCCATAACTGACCCAGAAACCTCTTTCCTGAGAACTGGCTCTCATAGTATTAGAAGATGCTGTGCACGAAGCATCTTGCCTCCTGGTTGTTAAGCCTAAGAACCACAACAATGAGCAACTTTGCAAGACATCCCCAGTGGTAATATGGCACTTTTCCCTTGGGACTGACCAACAGCTGTCTAATTGGATTTAAGGTCTTTTAGGTCAGTGCAGCACTCACCCATCTTCAAAGTAGCTTCTTTCTACGACAAGGAGGGCTACTGTAGAGACCCACAGCTGGACAGAGCTCAGAGAACAGGGGCCCAGGCCCAGTTAATACAGCTACAACATAATTCCTGCACTTAAAGCTCCTGAAACATTGCAGAAGAGGAGGCAGAAAGATTGTGGAAGCCAAAAGACAAGGACACCAGTTGCTAGGTAGTGTCTTCTCAACATGACAGGGAAGCTACACCCATAAAGTCTCAACAATATGATTGCCTAAACAAGATCTACATAATGACAACACCCAAACACATAAAATAAAAATAAAGGTTAAATTTCATATTTTTTCTTTAATAAAGAAACAACAGATAAAAAAAGAAAAGGTCTCCTCAAAACATAATAATCAAAACACCAAACATACAGAATAAAGAGAAAATATTAAGAGCAGCAAAGGAAAAAGGTCAAGTAACTTATAAAGGCAAACCTATCAGAATTACACCTGACTTTTCCATGGAAACTCTGAAAGCCAGAAGGTACTGGATAGATATTCTACCTACACTAAGAGACCATAGATGCCAGCCCAGACTACTGTACCCAGCAAAGCTTTCAATCAATATAGATGGAGAAAACAAGATATTCCATGAAAAACCAGATTCAAACAATACATATCCACCAATCCAGCCCTACAGAAAGTTCTGGAAGGAAATCTGAGAAGTTAACTACAACCAGAAAAACATAGGCAATAGATAATCCCACTTTACCACCAGCCAAAAGTAAAAAGGGACAGAATCCCACACATAATCTTGCCACCATCACCAAATCAACAACAAACAAGAATGAACAATCAATGGTCATTAATATCCATCAATATTAATGGTCTTAACTTACCTATAAAAAGACACAGATTAGCAGAATGGATAAGAAGACAGAATCCATCCTTCTGCTGCATACAAGAAACACACCTCAACTTCAAAGACAGATGGTACCTAAGAATTAAAGGTTGGGGAAAGATTTTCCAATCAAATGGACCCAAGAAACAAGCGGGGGTAGCAATCCTAATATCCAACAAATTGGACTTTAAACTAAAATCAATCAAAAGATATGAAGGTCACTTCCTACTCATCACAGGAGAAATCCATCAGGACCAAGTCTCAATTCTGAACAAAGGCATCCACGTTTGTAAAAGAAATATTACTAAAACTCAAATCACACATAAAACTGCACACACTTATAGTGGGAGACTTCAACACCCAACTCTCACCACTGGACAGAAACACCAGAAACTTAACAAAGAAACAAAGGAACTAATAGAAGTTATGGCCTAATTGGACTTAACAGATATCTATAGAACATTCCATCCAAATACAAAACAATTTACCTTCTTCTCAGCACCACATGGAACCTTCTCTAAAATCGACCACATTCTTGGCAACATAGCAAACCTCAACAGGTACAAAAAAAATTGAAATAACCCCCTGTATCTTATCAGACCACCATGCTTTAAAGTTAGAATTCAACAACAACTCGAATTACAGAAAACCTACAAACTCATGGAAATTAAGTAACACCCAGTTGCACAATTCCTGGGTCATGGAAGAAATAAAAAAAGAAATTAAAGATTTTTTCCTACAATTCAATGAGAATGCAGACACAACATACCCAAACCTATGGGACACTTTGAAAGGAGTGCTAAGAGGAAAGTTCATAGCGCTAAGTTCATAGTGCCCACATGAAGAAACTGGAGAATAACCACACTAGAGAATTAACAGCAGGGCTTAGGATCAGGGATCTGTGGATGCCATGTTGGGCCATGAAGGTGGCAAAAAGAAGCTCCTGAAACACCCCAAGAAGCAGGCCAAGGAGATGGACAAGGAAGATAAGGCTTTCAAGCAGAAACAAAAAGAGGAGCAGAAGAAACTCAAGGAGCTAAAAGCCAAGGCCACAGGGAAGGAACCCCTGGCCACAAGTGGAATTAAGAAATCTGGCAAAGGGGCTGGAGAGATGGCTCAGAGGTTAAGAGCACAGACTACTCTTCCAGAGGTCCTGAGTTCAATTCCCAGCAACCACATGGTGGCTCACAACCATCCATTATGAGATCTGGTGCCCTCTTCTGGTGTGCAGATATACATGGAAGCAGAATGTATAATACATAATAAATAAATAAAATCTTAAAAAAAAAATTCAAAGTACATGATATCAAAAAAAAAAAGAAATCTGGCAAAAAGTAAGCTGTTCCTCTTTTCTTCCATGATGATGACCCTCCTCCATCCCTATTTAAATATCTGGATTCCCTACTATAACATCTTTGCCACCTGCAGCTAGAATGAAGTGTTATCTTGGAGCCTATTGTACATTGTAATAAACTTTTGTAAAAAAATTAATAAATAAAATGAATAAACAAAAAAGAATTAACAGCACAACTGAAAGCTTTAGAACACAAAGAATCCAATACACCCCAGAGGAGCAGATGCCTAGAAATAATCAAACTGAGGGCAGAAAACAATAAAATGGAAACTAGGAGAACAATACAAAGAATCAATATAAGGAAGAGTTGGTTCTTCGAGAAAATCAACAAGATAGAAAAACCCTTATCCAAACATACCAAATAGCAGAGAGTGAATATGCAAATAAATAAAATCAGGAATGAAAAGGGGGACATAACAACAGACACAGAGGAAATCCAGAGAATCATCAGATCATTAAATCAAGAACAGATAAGCAACTTAAATAGACCTATAACCCCTAATGAAATAGAAGCAGACATCAGGAGTCTCCCAACCAAAAAAAAAGCCCAGGGCCAGATGGCTTCAGTGCAGAATTCTACCAGAAATTCAAGGAAAAGCTAATACCAATTCTCCTCAGAGTATTCAAACAATAGAAGCAGAAGGGTCATTGCCAAACTCTTTTTATGAGGCTTCAATAACCTTGATACGAAAAGCCACACAAAGACACAACTAAAAAAGAGAACTACAGACCTATATCCCTCATGAACAATGATGCAAAAATTCTCAATAAAATACTGGCTCATCCCAGGGATGCAAGGATGGTTCAACATACGAAAATCCATCAGTGTTATCCACCATATAAACAGACTGAGGAGAAAAAACCACATGATCATCTCACTAGATGCCAAAAAAGCCTTTGACAAAATCCAACACCCCTTCATGATAAAGGTCTTGGAGAAATCAGGGATAACAGGAACATACCTCAACAT